TTTTCGAAAGTAAAAGCAGAAATTAATCCGCATTTGAATTAAATCCTAAAAATATAATCAAACTAGAAGCTCTTTTTTAATCCCAAATGGCATCTGCATTTTTTACTTGTAGAGTCTGACATGAATATTATACTTAATTTATTGAAAATTTCAGACTAAATAAAAATTATTATGTGACTAAGACAAGAAATCATTTAAGAAAAGAATTAATTTGCAAATCATGCGATTCATTTTTTTTTAAAATTTAGCATAGGCTGCTGAGATTAATTGCTTATGTATTGCATCCATTTAGTTAATTATTAAATCAGAAAAGGCCATTTGCTGCTTCGCATAATGTAGAAAATTTTAAATCTGCGTAGTAAACTACATTTCTTTGACCTTATTTGAACGCTATGAACGCGTGGAAATATATGTCTAGTGCACCAGGAAAAGATTAATGAGTTAAATAATGGGACATAATTAATATATATTATCCGGGAATCCTAAATATATTATTCGGAAATAAAATACCACACCCCCGGGTGACATGATTTCTTTCATTCGATCATAGTAGGTTTCCATTTTGCATAATTTTCCTCTTTTATAATCAATTATCTGCCTTGATTTTATTTATTTATTTATTTATTTATTTTTTTTTTTGAAATTCTGCAAATCAGGCATATGTTTTGAATAGCATGAAAATAAAGCGGAATGTAATTTATTCATCACAAATTAAGGTCACAAATGCAATTATTAATGCGTAATATATTACAAATAATATGTGTAAAACGTGTATTTGAAACATCCTTGCTCTTGTCTGCTATTTCATTTCTCACTTTTCTCATTTTGGTACAAAAAAAAAAAAAAAAAAAAAAAAAAAAAACTTTTCATCTACACATACATACACGTTTCGACAGCATTTGGGCTGGCTAAAATATTTAAAACGGCGTGTCTTTACAATTTCGCATGTACAGGAGAATAAAATATTTTATTCCTCACAGTGTGTTGCCACTGCTCGTTTTGAAATCGTCGATTTTCTAATTAAAAATTCGTTAAAGTTTAAAAATTATGAAATAGATAATAAAACAAAAGTCTAAATTCAAGATTCGAACTTCCAGGTGCCCATATTCGGATGGAGGACAAAGTTATTCAAAATATGATGCCTCTAGGTATCATTGGTTTTTCGCAATACGAGCATACAATACATGCATTCCTGCAGATTTATATTACTTATTTTTTAAAATATAATACAGGACGATAATATTTGGTGGCAATAATTTGAAAAGTGATACAGCTGTTTAGAGTGATTCGATGCAAAATGCCTTTTCGGAACTAATGGTCCTTCTGAGTTAACGCCCCTTTGGACTAAAAATGTCTTAAGTAATTAAATCTTACAAGATTTAGAAATTAATTTCTCATTTAAGAGTGAGTCCTTGCGTGTCAAGCTTATTTACATTTTAAAAAGGCGATTTTGACTGCTCAATGATAGCTCTTAGATTATTTTAATTACTCTCATTTTCAAAAGCATTGGTTATAAACGTAAAATTTATCAACTTAACGCAACCATGCTGTACATATTTTTCTCCTCGTTCTTCTTTTCTATAGACTTTCTGAATTATATTAGTCAATACGCTGATATCATTCCAAATTATACACTGCTGGCCATTAAACTTGCATCACCAGGAATCAATGATCTGACGAACGTGAAAATCACATGAAAGGAAGAAAAGGCTGGGATATGCAAATGCCATTTAGAAAGACTCAGGTGGGAGAAACGACATCTGAAGACCTGCATAAATGAAAAGTTGTGTAGTGGATTTCTCATTCCGAAAACGCTTTGCAAGGTCGGAGTTTCTCAGAATATCGTGTTATGTCTCGAATAATAAGAAGAAATGCTTACCAGCAAATGTCGGAATGCGATAGAGGCAGAATAGTGAGTGTGGATTACCGTTCCGTGATATCACGTGTCTCGCTGGTCAGCATCCAACCACTGTTATGCGAATATGGAATCAATGGTCATATTGAACATTGAGGGTCAATCCTACGTGTCGTCATATTGAACGACACGTAGGATTTCAACGCCCTCCTATGACAAACGCCCTAGAGAAAAGACATATTGAAAGGTTAGCCCTGCAAAACTGTACAACCACATCACGGAGCACTAGTCAGAAAATGGGTATGTTTTCAGCACGCCTAGTATCCGCACGTACGCTACGTCGATGTTTGCAATCGCGTGGACTATCAACGCGATGACCTTTACTTCGGCTTCCCTTGACAAAGCAGCATAAAGAGAGAACGGCAACTTTAGTGCGGCTGAACGATAATGCTGGATACAGGAGTGGCAAAACGTCGTTTTTTCAGACGAGTCTCGGTTCTTCTGATAGCCGTATACGTGTCTGGAGACTCTGAGGAGACCGCACGTCGCCCGCTTTTATTCAATATCCACATAAGGGCCCTGCAAATGGTGTAATGATTTGGACAGCCATTGGGTGCACGACACGCACATCTCTAATTCGGATCGACGGTAATATTTTGAAGGCAGATCGGTACCTTTCTGACATCTTACGTCCAGTTATTGTGCCCTATTTACGAGGCCTGCCAAAACACAAGCCAGCAAGATAATGCAATACCACATGCAACATGAAATGAGTTGTCCCTTTCTGTCATCCAAGCCCAGTTCGACTCCATGCCTAACCACGTAAGGGCCGATTTAGTTGCCAAGGGTGGCAGCTGTTTCTACTAATTTCGCACTCCTGTAAACCCCCAAACTATACTTAAAATGAATCATTTTATCTTCGTGCCATACTGTTTACGTACAATAAATATCTATTTTGTATACTTTCCTTCATGGTGTTGCAATTTTAATGGCTAGCAGTGTAAAATAAAATCATATCATAATAATATGACATCCTGTTCATTGTTTAAACTCACAATGTTAATTGTCTAAAAATTACATCTTGCATGTTTTCGAAATAAAGTTTTAAAATTTAAGATTCCAATTTAAACTTCTTATTAAATTCTTTAATAAGCCGTTACCATCAGAAGCTTCAAACCAAAGAATAAATAAACTAAACCTTTTAATATTTTACTGTTTTATTAAAATCCGACTTAATATTTTTGTGTGTTAACAAATCGTATAAACGTGCGAAGAAACGTGCCACAAGAATAAAAAAATTACCAAAACTTGGAATCTTTTTCACAATCAAATTTTTAAAGGTAAAGATATAAGAAGCAAATCCAGATTTTTCCATGAGTTTGCAACCCAAATATAAATAATATAGTGAGTATAAAAAACAATTGACAACACTTCACACACCATAAACGTAAACAGCTGATTGTTTCTTTGGAGAACACGTTTTCTTCCCTCTTTGCCTTTTCTAATATAAGATAATTAAAATTTCTATATCATTCATCAAAAATTTTATATTAGCTAAGCATTGTAAATTACCCATAATATTATAATTATGTCATAAATATCAACCTTTCTTTCAATCTTACGTTTACCTAACATAGGTTGGAAAAGATATATCAATAAGTAATGTCTTTAACTCCCAAAAAGCAAATTTAAAAAACACAGTTCCAAATATTGTGCCGTCCTTTAAAATTACTTTATAGTTAATCTATATTTCCAATAAAACCCTATTAAAGTTCAAAGACATAAAATGAATCTTCTTACAAATGTGTCATTTATACCTATGATTAGGGTCATCAAGGCTTCTGATATTCCAAAAGGAAATGTTGCTTTTATTGGATGCGTAATTTTATGTCTTGGCAATACTCTGATATTATCGATATTTCTTCGATCAATATTACAAATTACATGCGGGGGTAAAGAATAACGATTCTTTCCTATGCGAGAAGATTATCTGTGATATATTTTACATCGCTTCAATTTATGGTATTTGCTAAATTTAGTTCTTTTTTGGTTACAGCCTTAATCGAAATCAGTTAAAATACGTGTTTTAGAATCCGTTGCTTTGAAAGCGTTTCTAGTGTATCTGACTGTTTTATGCGATTATTTACTTAAATGAAATGAATGGTGGTCCTGACTTTATTTCAAAAATCGATTATTAGCATTTCGGGTAAGAATTGATATTACTGCTGCAGAATTCAGTTGCTACTTCCTTCTTAAAGTGGCAAAAATAAGTCATGGAATACTATGGAGTTCTAATGAAAAAGAACCAAGTGTACCAGAAAAAGAACCAATAGCAAACGTGGCAATGATGCGAAAATGGTAGCAATAATTTTATTGTTATAATGACATGTTTACCTCAAATAAAAATGAAGATTTTTAACTTTTGTTTTTTTTATAAATTTTGCTAGGTTTTCGCTAGCATTTTAATTCACTCTTACAGTTATCTGAATCTTACCATATGAGCATAAAGGGAATTTTAAATCTGACACATGTTAATTTTAAAATAACGAATTGCATCCAATTTATTTCCGAGTGTTATTCGGGTCTACTAGCGGCTGACTGATAAAAACGCTGTAACCTGTTAGTTTAACTTGGTTGCGATTCTAGGTGAATAGTTTGGTTGCATGGAAGGTTTTGCAGTTTTCTTCATGTGCAAAGTGGATGTTAGCTAGGTTTCTTTAGAAAGTCTTTACGCCTTTTCAAAGAAACCTGGCTATCTGCCTCCATCCCTTAAGGCAGGTAGCCCTCGCGTTCTTTTTTGTCCAACCTAGTGCTCTTAGCAGAACATTAGAGGAAAAATTACTAATCAAATAAACTAAACCAACCAATTTAGTGGTATTTGCTGAAAATTATAGAAAAATAGTCAAACACTTTACTGTAATCAAATAAACCAAACCAACTAACCTGGTGTCATTTGCAAAAAACTATAAAAAAAAAGTCAATTACTTTACTATAAGCAAATAAACCATGTAACCAAATAAAGCAAACCAACACAATTAAGCAACAATTCAAAGAGAAGTTTTTAAAAATGAAGTCAATCACTAAAAATAATTGTAGCTTCTACTGAAACTGGTATTTAGATACATGTATTATGTCTTCTTTCCAGAGCCACATCATAATCAGCCTCCAAGAATCATGCGAAGGTCGAGCCGCGTTTCAGTTCCTGTTGGTCAGAAAGCCACCTTGTCCTGCATAGCACAAGGTCATCCAGTGCCAACGTATCGATGGCATAAAGTAGCTGGGGAACTAAGGTCTCTTCCCGAATTAGGATCCACAGTTCGTCAAGAAGGTGGAGTATTGGTCTTCCATAAGATTGTCCCTGCTGATGGTGGTACTTATATCTGTGAAGTAAGCAACAGCGTCGGTCAAGATAAAATGGAAGCAGAATTAATTGTAGAAGGTACGTTTTAAATTTCTCTTATATAATAATGTACAAAGAGGAAACATTGAATAAATTATAAATATGCATAGAATCAATCGAAATAAAAACATAAGAAGTTTACAGCCATGTCATCTATTTAAATTTGCTATTAATCGGTCATAATCTCGTAACTTATTCATTTTTAATGTAGCATTTGACGATAATATAAAAACATTTGATGCATTCGGAATAGATTTCTAAAGCCTTAGAATTTAGTATCTGAAATGACTTGTACGATGAAATTATTAATCATAATAGTTGTTGGCGCTGTAAAATCACTGAAGACTTTTCATGAGGAATTTCTGACTTCTTGCAAGTAAATGTGACGAGAATTAGAAAAATACCGTTTTGTGTAGTCAGAAATTGAGCCCAGGAATCAGGATTCCTCTTTTTTTGTCTCATTCTCTAAGTCAGTGGTGTCAAATTCGCGGCCCCTGAAGCAATATTATACGGCCCGGGAATGTATTTGGTTCGCATGCAGTCTCAGTTTGCTATCACTGCACTAAACCACTGCCAGGCCTCCCAGTCAAGGTTTTCTGCAGTAAGGAAAACTATACTATTAATATAGTTGTGTACCTTCTGGTACTTCAAAATAACTTTTAAAATTTTTGTAGGAAACTCTTCTTTGTTGTGGGTTATACCTTAGACGTCATGAAAAAAGAAGAACACATAATTTTGAAACTTGATGAAAATGAAAGAAATATATTGTCAGTAAGCAAAAACAGCGTTGTTTTGAATGAAAACGAAAAGAAAAATAAATTTTAAAGTACGTATTTCAGGTTTCGTTTTGGGCTGTTTCTTCCCTAAACAGACAAAAAACCACATTTACAGCAATAGTCTGCTTTGTTTGCTATTGTAGCAAGTAAAAAAGTATGAATAATCAGAATTCAATTCAAATTAACATGTAAGAACCTGGTAATTTTGTAAACTGAACTTGTATTACAGAACTAGGTAAATGAGATTTAAAAGTATGCCTTTCCAGTAGTCTTAGACGACTCCTAAGGATGATTTGCTTAAATCTGCTTTTGGTGCTTACATGCTACTTTACTATACGTTGCTTCAAGTGCGATCAAACATCTAACCGCTCTATTTATTTATAATAATTCCTTTTAATTACATCTATTATTTAGTTTATGCGTTAAATCCTCCATTTCATCCTTGTTTACTTAAACGTGGCATGTGGGCTTACATGGATGCGTCTTAAGTACACACACTAACTCAAATGGTTATATATAGCATAATGTTCCCGTTAAGTATAGAACCAACCCTTACAAAGCCTTCAATTCGCGGTTCATAGCCTAAAGACATCCATAGTGACAACGGGATCATGCGCGCTGTGATGAAGACCCTTTATCACCGCGTGGAACGTGCTCGGCAGCAGCAAGCCTGATACTTTGAGGTTAATTGGGCCCAATGTAGTTCGAATAATTATCCTGCCTTTCATGCCCTTTCTGAATTCCAACCCCTTTCATTATCCTTCGATCACCGGCGGTGAGAGGAGAGGATATCTTCCGCGTTTCACTATTCATCAAATAGTGGAGTTTCAATGGTTACTGCAGATTAATTTGCAATATGCATATGAAAGGACGCTAAGTTAAATTGCTTATTTGGGCTATATTTAGATTCAGATAATGACGACAGAGAAATGGGAGAAATAGGTTTAAAATAGAAAGCATAATATTTTCTTGACTTCATAATTTCCTTCAAAACTCATCGTTCTAGGTAGACAATTAAACTAGAAACGTTCGAGTATGGAATTGTCAACTCGGCAAGCTTCAGCAAATGTTTATAGCAAACGTTTATTTCACATTTGCCGAATTGACACAGTGTGATATGATTTTGAAGCTTAAGCTGTCAAAATCGGTTTATAATAGAAACTATTATATTATTTTCCATGGATTTCCGGAATTAGATTTTCGAGAGAAAAGCAGTAACCGTACGTTAAATTCGTTAGCGATAATTTTTGGAAGTAATTTGTAAAGAATTTAATTTGCAAAGTACCTTTTACCTTAGAAGTTCATATTTCCCTATTTGCAGAAATGTATGATGTTAAATGGTTCAGTTTAGCTTCTTCTCAAAATAGTTGAATTTTCAATTATTTTGCAGTAACTACTTGTATTTAGCATATTTTTATGTGTATTGTTACTTGTTTTATTAATGTTTCTTCGGAAAACAAAAGAGAAATGCTTTTATCAGTTTAATGCTTGTTTTATAACAAAAACATTTTAATATATATGATGTAATTAGAGCTATGATTTTATTAGACTGTATATTTCTGACATGTAAGACAGGTTTGATAACTTTCATGAGGATCATAAGTAAAATTATTCCAATAAAATTGCGTTAAGCACTTGCAGAGGGACAGAGAGAAATGATGCATAAGAATTTTGCTCACATAATATTATGTGATGCGTTCGTATCCTGATAATGTTAGACTTTCTCAAAAGTCACAGCCAGTATTAAAACCATCGATCAATATATAATAAATGTGCTCCTACTTATATATGCGGTACATTAGAAGTAATGTTCATTTATGGACTAACATATACAAATTTTTTATCGAAAGAGGAGAAGGGATGTAATTTTGAATGCGGTTGAAATTCCAGCATTCGAAAAGATATATTACGTAAAAGTTTCCATTCATGGTTTAAACAAATATTTCTATTTAAAACAGCCAGTATGCTTTCCACCTGATATGCGTAGAACCCAAGAGCGAAATTTAACAACAGAAAGAACTTGAAATTTCCTGTTTTAAGCGATAAGAAAGCGTTTAAATGAGAATACATTTACGTTTCCTCAAAGTGTTAATTTTTCACTTAGTAGGACTTAAGGTGTCGTGAGAATAAAATGGCAGGTGCAAAATAGACAATTTTTAACTGCCCGCAAACTTTAGAATAGGGTGTAAGATGTAGGATAAGAGGAATATTTCAAACCTTTTAAACTGGTAATACTCGGACTTTATCACATCCTCATATTGCAAAGTTTGTAATCCTCATATGATGTGCCCTCACCAGTACACAAGAAAGTATCGTATAAACAATTATACATACAAATATATAAGAACAGCACCGCGGAAGTGCGGCTAATTTTCATAGCTCTTTATACATAAGCTGTAAAGTGGCATGAACATGTATTAAGTGGGAGTATATATCCTTGCAAAGCATTCAAATTTCATAAGGCGTGTAACATGGGAGCCGCAAATTATAAAGAAGTTCAAATCTCGGAAATACGTAACGTTTTTTGAATTGTGGCTTTAGAAACTGCGGGCAGGCACCCAACTTTATACTCCCTGTTTTGAGAATTGCGGGTGGTACGGAGAGAGATTGGCTCGTATTCATATCACACATGAAGAAAACTAGGAAAACCAAACACGCAGCCAATAATTGGTTCGCCTGGGACCAAACCCGAGTCAAACTTTCAGCGTTCAGCTGTCTTAACAACTCGGCCACTTTTGACCTTTATTTATATGCTTGATCACTCTTGAAAGCTTCCCGGGAGTTCTCATCGGGAAATGGGATACATTTCATTTTTAGATGTGAAACAAATAATGGAAAAATTCTGCCTATATAAAAAATACAAAATATAATTATCAAAATTTTTTGGTAAGTATTTATGTAATATAAGGCATTACGGTCATTTTTCATTAGTTAAAATAATGCTGCATCTCTCTATAAAATCTATCAGGTGAAGTTTTTATAAATTGAAAGTATTTTTAATTATACCCTTTCAAACATATTTTTAAAAAAATTAAAAATACAGTTCAGATTTTTAAAAAGCGTGTTTATCGCTTTTAATCAGCCGTAATAACTGTTTAACTTAATTATTAAGCATTCATTGCGGCTGATTAAAATTACAATGTAAATTAAAGATCCCGCATTTTGTTCAATGGAAACATACTGAGAACACCATATATGCCAAATCCAGAGGAATGTAAATCAAAAAGATAAATATTTCCATTGTTTCGCAGAATTCCAAGTTTTGAAAATTGGCATGGATGGTAAATGCATGATAGTATAATCTCATATTATGAATAGATCTATAAATTTTGAAACAACCTCCAGATTCCATTAAAAATGTTTCTAATTTCAAAACTAAACGATTTTCTACCGAACTATGTGAAATATAGGGTTACAGCTGAAAACATCGCGGACGAAAACGTCGCAGAGAAAACAACGCAAGGCGAAAACGTCGTGCTACAAAACATCGTGGGAGAAAATATCGTAAAGAGAAAACATCGCAGTCCTAAAACATCGTGGTACAAAACATCGTCATCCAAAATAAAGCGGTTCAAAAACATCGCAGTTTAAAAACATCGTCGTCGAAAATATCGTGGTAAAAAATAAAGTATCTACAAATCATCGCATAACGATAACATCGCAGACATGCTTTTTTCATGGAAAGAAGGATAATTTTTACTTTCATATTTTTTATTCACTAATAAATTTTTGCTGAGAAAATAAGAAGGAAACTTAAGCATAGAAAATTAATGCAACTTGTATCACTCAATAGAATTTTATACCGACATAGTTAACTAACAAAGGCCATTAATAAATCCTTTTTATAAAGTTTTTACTGGTAATTTTCCATAAAAAGTATAATGTATAAGTTGCCTTAAATTAATTAATGCAATAATTTAACTTTTTCAGCAAAATTTTATTAGTCAATAAAAAGCTGTGAAAGTAAAAATTATCCTTCTTTACATCTTGCGCCCACAAATCCTTATGAGAACCATATTTCCATTTACAGTTATTAAAGCCTGAAAAAAGCATGTTTGCGATGTTATCGTCATGCGATGATTTGTAGATACTTTATTTTTTACCACGATATTTTCGACGACGATGTTTTTAAACTGCGAAGTTTTTGAACCGCTTTATTTTCGACGACGATGTTTTGTACCACGATGTTTTTAGGGCTGCGATATTTTCTCTTTGCGATGTTTTCTCCCACGATGTTTTGTAGCACGACGTTTTCGCCTTGCA